AGCCCTCAACAGGAGCGTGAGAAGTTTAAGAAGATGAGACTGGCACCACCCTAAGGAATTCATGGTGTTGTGGCTTGCCGGCTTGGGAACTTAGGTTCAGTCTGGAGAGATTTCTGTCTTGAGGTGGGAGCTAATAAACGCAACAGAACTGTATTTGCACTGTCTCATGGAATTCTTTGGGCTGAATCTGACAGAAAAAGAGTAACTAAACCAGCAGCTACCTTTTCCCCTGGAGTGACTGATATTCTCCAGATGCAATGCTTGTGTGCAGAATATCCATTGGGAAAATCAGGTGAGGAGAAATTTCCTTGACTGTCTTGCAGTGTTTCTCCACAAACTACAGGAGAAAAAAAGAAAGAAAAGACAAAAATACATGATAAAGAAATAAAAATAGTAATAAAACAGTTTTGAAGCTGTCCAATTTAGGATTCTCCAAAAACATATTCCTAAGGAAATCCAGGTGGTTCTAATTTCAGGAACTGAACGAGCTGTTTCCAGAGTTCAGGGACTCTCAAATTATTGGGGGAAAAACTGTCCATCTCAGGAGCATTTCCTGTCCATTTGGTTCTACAACTCAGTCCAGCTAGAAACCTAGCCATAAATTATGACCACGTGGACAAGGCTCTATAATCAGGTTTGCACAAACTCCCTTTCTCCACTTAAAATCCCTGCCAAGGTAACACAGTTTCCACCACAAGAAAAATAGAGCCTGGCAAAGGGCGCACATTATGCAAATTGTTCAGTTCTACACATATTTATTTTGCAAAATGTTTTCTCCTTCTCATGGGAAAGAACAACAAATTATGACTAGCTCTGCTGTTCATCCCTTCCTCTAGTTTCTGAGATTTTTCCAGGCACCGGTGACATACTTTAATTTCCATCCTAGCTTTGCCATTGTGCACTGAAAAAGAAAAGTATGTATTTTCACAACACTGGTTCCTGTATCATCCTGCTTGAGGTACCTGCATGGAAGAATTACAGAATTACCCTACTCTTTCTCCAATGAACTGTACTGCACAGAGATCTGCTACTTATTTCTTATCACTTGTTTTGCTCCTGAAATTGGCTCATGTGAGATAACCCCCCCTTAATCCTCCCCCAACATATCTATAGCTTGTTCTGCAGCTGTGAAAGTAACTATGGAAACCAAGCCGGATGCCATGTTGCCACAGTGACAGAAGTTGGGACTTGAACACAGACAGTGCAAACCTTACAAGACTTTTCATGTTCTCTTCTGTTGCTGCTTTCTTCCTTTCACAGCAAAACACCAGGGGATCCAGATTCTTCTTAGAAATAGTCCCTCCTTCTCTCTCCCTCTTCTTTCCGGCCATGCCAGAGCCCCAATCCTATCCAGGACTTTAAAGGCTCCTCCTAGCAGGGAATGCCATGGTCCACGATGGTAGCAACCCACCTCCCATTCCCTGCTATAACCCAGACACAGGAGTCAACTCCTTCTGCCTCCCATCATCTCATTCATTATTAGGGACCACAATAGTCTTTCTGCTAAGGACCATCTGGGAGGAACATGACCCTGCTGGACAAGGCTTGAGTTAGAAGTTGATTGTGTATGCGTGTGTGCCTTCGAGTCAGTCTTGACTCCTGGTGACCGCCTGGACAAGTTTATGCAGTTTTCTTGGCAACATCATGGAAGTGGCTTGCCCTTGCCTTCTTCCTAGGGCTGAGAGGGTGAGACTGTCTCAAGGTCACCCAGCTGACTGTGCCTAAGGAGGGACTCAAACTCATAGTCTCCCAGTTTCTAGCCTGATCCCTTACCCACTACACCAAACTGGCTCTCTAGAGGTTGATGTCGAGCAAATTATTTTTTTCTCCTTCTAGAAGTACAAAACATGCCTCGGCGGATTAAAAGCCATCATTCTTTCGCTTCACTTTCATTAAATGTTGATTGTGCCTGAACAGGTCTCTTACTGTTCCTCAGTGGGGTATACTTTTGACTCTACAACTTTTAAATACAGAAAAGCATGAGCTCATGATTATTGATGGCAAAATTCTGCACCCTAGAATCTTTTTATTTTTTGAAAGAGCAAGGCAGAGCTGTAAAATAAATACTGATACGTAAAGCTATATTTATTTTTATTTATCTATTTATTAAATTTTTAAACCGCCCATCTCCCCCCAATGGGGGAACTCTGGGCGATTCATATCACACACAAGCACAGGTAGCAAAATCCTCATGGTTTTGGTTTGTTTATATGTTAAAGACAATTTAAGGTAGTAACTGCTGAAATCAGAGAGAGCTGTTCCAGCTGGTCAGGAGAAAGGATCTCTCAGCCATGTCCAACTTATTTATTAAAAACATTTTCTTAACGAGCTGCCAAGGGGCTTATAAAGTAAAATACCAAATCCAGCTTATTCAGTCAGCATGTTTATAAATTACATTTTTTTCCTGTACTATACAGAGAAAGATGTGCATTCATTTCACACAGAAAAAAAAACTCTCTGCAAACAGAATGAATTACGATCTCAGGAAGAAGTCTAGATACAACCATCTTCCAAATGTCAGGTTTTTTCCCCCCGGAAAGGACTGGTACTGAATAACCTGCATTCTATGAACCCAGAAAAACTGAAATCCAATCTGGGAAAGGTTCTCCTCCAAGAAAAGCTCCCTCTATTCTTGAGAAACGTAAATACAATCTAGAGACAAAATTTGGCCTATTTCATAATTGCTTTAAGAAAAAAAGGTCCTTACAGCAGGCTGAAAGAAATAGACTATCCTAATTAGAAAACTTGACTTTTAATCTTTAACCCAATCTGAGACAAAGTACTTTTGCAAAATGTTGTTCTTTTAAAAACTGTTTTGGATTATCATTTTTGTAGAAATAATGTTATATAGACTTTTAAATGTGGAACCTGTTGATTTCTTAGGAAAATATGTTTCAAATTATATCTTGTTATAGCATTGACCTTTAGATGAGAGATTTTGTAATCGAAAGGCTCTGATGCCCAGGCTACTAGAGAATGTCTGGGAATTTGGGGGAATTTCATGTAATTTCTTGGGAAGAAATTGGCTTGGGAGATGTTTCTGAGAAACAAGGGATTGACTCATGCCTCTGACCACATTTCCACGTCAAATGGCATATGGGGTATTTATATGTTCTTGGACTTTGAACTAAGATGTGGAAGTATAGAACAATGAACTGTGAGTTATTCATATCTCACTCTGACATGCCAAAATCAATCCACGTTTTCTTGATCAAGGCCAAAGGGTGACTATCTCAGCAAAGATTCCCAAACATCAGATGGCCACCTATGTTTGCTAGAACATAACAGCAGAAAATGACAGATTTTGTAGTCAATAATGTATTATAACATTTATGTTTCATATCCACAGAGCTGGGTCTATACATCTCAAAGAACAAAGAATTATTTTAATTTGCAGAGAAATGGAATCTCTTTCCAAGACTCTGTGTTAAAATTACTCTTCAGATCCATATCCAAATAACACTGGATTATATCTGACAAAGCTGGATAAAATGTTCTGGCCACAACAATTTTTTATAATACACAATTCTGGTCTGTGACCATCATAAAATATTGATTGATTGATTTATAATACACAAAGGAAACCATATTACTTGTGAACACTTCTTTGCTTATAGATATGGCCATAATTTACATAAAGTTTACACATTATAGAAATAAATTCCATCATTAAATTGTGGGATCTGCTGCTATCTCATATGGTAGTGGCCGCCAATACTGATGTTTTTAAAAGAGGAATGGACAGATTCATGGAGGTTATCATTGTCTACTGTAGTTGAGGCTACAATATTAAGTACCTGTGGAATTACACACAATATATCTGAAGGAACAGCTAACTAGTAGAAGGGATATCCTTCCCCTCTCCATGTTTGTGAACTTCCTAATCCTGCTAGATTAAATGGGTGGTTGGCTTGATCCAAGAAGTCTTCTCTTAGCTTCTTATGACTGAAGCAAAAGAAAGCTACTTTCATTGCACTTGATCTATAGGTGTTCACAGCTTCTTGAAAGAGCTGAGCATCCTTACAGGGATAGGCAGCTTGACTCTTGCATGAGAAGGAGAAATGCACCCTCTTCTGTCTTTTGATCATTACATTTGTCTTTCAGAACATTTAGGAGATGTTTCCCCTTAACTCTGAGGCACAATTCACTTGCAGAGCCTTGTAATGAAAGAAGTTGCTTTACAGGAAGCTGCAAATAAAGCTTATTTCACGCAGCAGGTAGAAGATCTGGGCTTCATCAATTCATCACATGTGGCAGTTCCTAGAAATCAAATCAGATCCTAGATAGCTCATTAACTCAATGGGAGAAGTTAATAAGCATTCTGATGGCTTGCCTGAGTCAAGCAAAGGCTCAAGTAACCTGGGGCTTTGGGACTGTCATTGTATAATTTTTCTGCCAGGTAAAAGGCAGCCAAGAGTGAGCCAAACAGCTGCATCTTCAGTGCATTTCCCTCACTGAGATTCTCAAGTCCTCTTCCCTCTTGGAGAGCTGACTAGCTACCCCACTTTGGAAAAGCGAGCCTCAGCTTATCCTTCTCAAGGTTTGCTTCACGTGCTGGGCCTTATAAAGCAGAACATCTCCCCACAGGGAACCTCTGCCCTTCTCCTCTCTGCATCTTACTTTGAAAATGCCAAAAGAAGAAGCCCAAGTCGCTCAGAAGCTCTCCTTGGGTATTTCACTACAGACACCATTTGTCAGCTTCTATTCATGGCAGCATCGGGGGGAAGAGGGAGAAGGCTGGGGAGACAATGGTTACTAAGTGAGAATCTCTGTGGTTATGTTATGTGGGCAGTGGTCCAGAGCCTCAGTCTTCTGCTGTTTCCCTGCCACCTTTTGCAACGATACCAAAATGTAGAGAGATTTATTATAGACAAGAAACAGAAAAAAAACAAAGCAGAAGGATGGGAAGTTGGGGGCATGGAAGTAGGGAGAGGAGAACGGCAGATAAAGGCCCTAGTGCATTGCACGAAACCATCAATGCTCTAATACCCCCAACTCCCAAACCAGCTCTTTCCTTCATCTGCAATTCTGTTTCTCCCTAATGATTTCCCCACACATGTCCCATCCCAACACTGTCTTTCTTCCCTCTTCTTCATACTGGCTCAGTCACCCATTTGAAGAATTTCCTGCAGGAAACACTGCATTCCTTACTAGAAAAACAACTCAGTTCTGTTTGTAAACGTCTGTCCTCTCCACGGAAACAGACACCCAGTAGGGGATGGATGCTGGAAAACTCCAAGCCAGATCAGGTCTTGGGAATCAAACAGGAAGCAACAGTTTCACACACTTCTCTGTCTTTGGCTCCTGGTTCCTCGCCTTCTGTTCTGACATCTGTTTGATTTTGAGAGCCAAAACTGGCGTGGATTGGACTGTCTCCAAAGACTTGGTGAAGGTCAGAGCCATCCATCCAACTCCAAACCCCTGCATTATGTCATGCCTCTGTCCATTTGAAAAGCAGTGGGAAGAGGTAAGATTGGAGCATTACGTGAAACCTTGGGGGATTATAAAATACAACAGAAGGATGGAAACATTCTGGGTTTAGCCTACACAGGCTGAGATCAATAGTCTGAAGGCAAAAAACCTTCTACCATGGTAACTCTCCAAAGGGCAGACTCTCCATAGGAGATTGTAGTGCACATGTCAATTGTTTAGCCTAAAGAAGAGAGAGAGGGCTAAGGGGAGACATGATAGCAGACTTCTAATACTTTTTTTTTAGACTTTTTTATCCCACCTTTCTTAGTCTTATAAATAACTCAAGGTGGCAAGCATACCTAATACTCCTTCCTCCTATTTTCCCCACAACAACAACCCTGAGAGGTGAGTTGGGCTGAGAGAGAGTGACTGGCCCAAAGTCAACCAGTCAGCTTTCATGCCTAAGATGGGACTAGAACTCAGAGTCTCCTGGTTTCTAGCCTGCAGCCTTAACCACTAGACCAAACTGGCTCTTGAATACTTGAAGGACTGTCAAAGGGAAGAGGGTATGGATTTATTCTCTCCAGTGCCCAAGGATAAGACAAGAACCAATGGGTGGAAGCTTTACAGAGAGCTCCAAACTTAAAATAAGGAGGACTTTCCTGACCTTGATGGCTAATAAGCAATAGAACAGCCTGCTTCCTTGAGTCATGGGTGCTCCATCACTGAAGGTTTTCAAACAAAGGTTGGACAGCTATTTGTCAGGGATGATCTGAGTACTGCTGCCTTGGACATGGGGTTGGAATCAAAGACCTCCAAGCTCCCTTCCTATGATTTTATGATGAATGATTATATGTAGTTGGGAGAAATGTTTGAAGTGGACAAATGTAAAACATGAAATATAATCTTAACTAAGATGAAATTTAGCTGTAAGATTCAGAGGCGTTACAGTCAGAAATGTAAAAATTACACTTCAGTCCAGCTGACTAACATGAAGATGATAGATAGTTAGATAGTTTTAGCATGTATTATTTCCCTTTCCCCAATTTCCCACTGGGGAAATACTAAATTTCAACATGATTTGGGTGGGTGGGAATTGGATCGTTTTGGAGGTTCAAGGCCTAACTAGATAGTCCTATTCTATGGCTGGTGACAGCAGTTTAAATCATCAGCAGAAAGGATGAGAGATACAGAAGAGAGATGTGGGAAAGCTGTGTGGAAGGAAGTTGTACTTGTATTTATGCCAGATGCTTCTTAGAAATAGTCCCTCCTTCTCTCTCCCTCTTCTTTCTGGCCATGCCAGAGCCCCAGTCCTACCCGGGACTTTAAAGGCTCCACATAGCAGGGAATGCCATGGTCCATGATGGTAGCAACCCACCTCCCATTCCCTGCTATAACCCAGACACAGGAGTCAACTCCTTCTGCCTCCCATCATCTCATTCATTATTAGGGACCACAATAGTTTTTCTGCTAAGGACCATCTGGAAGGAACACGAGCCTGCTGGACAAGGCTTGAGTTAGAGGTTGAGTGTGTGCGTGTGTGCCTTTGAGTCAGTCTTGACTCCTGGTGACTGCCTGGACAAGTTTGTGCAGTTTTTTTGGCAACATCATGGAAGTGACTTGCCCTTGCCTTCTTCCTAGGGCTGAGAGGGAATGACTGGCCCAAAATTACCCAGCTAGCTTCATGCCTAAGGACATGTCTGGAATTTTTCCATCACTAGTCCATCACCATCAGCACTAGACCAAGTTGGGTCTCATGGAAGGAAGCTACCTGAATGATATCTATGTTACCAAGTCTTGGGGGAAAAAAGAAAAAGAAACAGGAGTGAGAAAAAGAAACTTCCATCTGTAAAATAGAATTGGTACAATAATATGAGTACTGGATCCACTGTGTTCTGAAATTACTGCTCATCCTGAGCATCTGACTAAAAGCGTGGTACACATTTGTAAAACAAATCACGCAAGGAAGGAAGACTTCTCCACTCTTTGTCCTGAGATAGTTTGTGCTACAGTACAAATTTCCTTTTTATAGCTAATGACTGGTATTGTGATCAGAGTCCAGTTCAGGAATGGCTGCCTCCTGTAATACTACAGGGCCTTATCTGCAATGTGTGGATAAAGTCATTAGCGTTCCTTGAAGCAATCACTGCTCCCACTGGGAAAAGAAATATATTTTTCCTAACAATATCATTCTGCTGGAGAAAATAAGAGATCCTCAAAATGGTAGCATTTGCTGAAGGAGGATGTTTGGGTTTCTTACGATAAATGAGCAAGATTTGTTGCTATGTATTTATCATTGAGTAAAGCTATTAGACTTATAATCTTAGGGTTTGCTGTATCCATTCAGATTCCACGAAGCATTTAACATGGCCAATGAACAACAGTAAGCAAATATTCAGTATTAGCAACAATAACCTGGGGGGCTTGAGGATGGCTAGCTCCTAGGATTCCCAACTTAAAGGCCCTGTATTTCCATTCCATCTTCCCTTCACTACCTTATTTCCTAAGAAAAATAAAATATAGAGGAGCTGGTGGGGTCTCTTGCACTGAAACAGGGCAATTATACAGCAGAAGCTCCATCTGGAAGCCCTTCTAGACTCCTCTTTTGTAAGATGCAACTAACAATACTTACGAGAGCATTTGTAGAGTTTGCGTGCCTGGGCAATATCTCCTTTGCTCAGCCGGGTTCGCTGTCCAATGGAGGGCTGCATCCCATTCACATTATATTTGGGAAGAATGGTGTCTAAGAAGATCCCCCTGAAACAAACATAAAGGAGAATATTCTCAGCTCCTAGCTGCCTTGCACAGACACAACCAAAGGTTCATACAATAATTGGTTACTGGGAGTTAGCCATCTGGAAACAACAGGTAGGTTATTTTTCAAGACAGAAAGTAACAGTGATGATGGCTAATATAGCCTTGGATTTACAAGCACCCACCCTTTCTTACTTTTCCCTCTTCCCAGTGAATAGATATCTTTTGAACTGGTCTGTGTTTAGACTGGAAGAGTATTCATGCATGGCATCAGAAAAGTCCCATGTTTCAATCAATGTGGTGGTCTTGATATCTTTCCTCTATAGGCATTAACAATGGGGAAAGGAAGAGTTGTATCTAAATTTGACTCACAGGGATTTCCAAAGGATTTCGAAATAAGAAAGGTAAAAAATTATTGAAATGAAAAAAGCCTAGGTAGGCCATCATGTCCCATATCCTTCGAATGACCTACTGTCTAAAGAAGATCCTGATGGAGTTCATTCATTCATTATTATCATCTCTATGGGTGGCAAGAGTAACAGTCATTTGGTAATCACAGAAATATTAGCAGAGACTTAACTTGTACATTGTCTGGGATGCATGAGAGCACTGGGTTCTGCAATCGTATTATTAGCAGGGCATGAAATCTTTTAAGTCTGTATTGCTGTGATTGCTACTTTTCTGTATAGAAATAGAGATGGGAGCTGAAATGGGAAAGAGGAGGAAAAAATCATCATCAGCTATTTCTGTACTAGCCCAGTTCCAAGTTGGGTGCATCTAAAGGTTGTGGCCTCAGGCCCTGATTCCTGTTCTTGGCCACATCAGACCCTTCGCTCCTTCGTTTCTTCTCCCAGGGTTTCCATGTAATTTTTAAACCCGTTGCCCTTATGAAGGATTCCAACTTGGCTGCAAGAACATAGGACAAGTTACTAAAAACAGCCATGGATGCCCTTGTAATTAGAATGGCGCAAGGGCGTAAATCCAGCAGCCCTGTAACCTCACCACAGGAAAGGAACTGCCCACACAAAGTCTTGCAAGCCTGAACAGTTTGAGCTCTGACAGCAGTTGTAAAGCAGCTCCAGACCCATCTGACCTCACAGGACCAGCTGGTTTAGTCCAAGCATTTCTGGTTATGCACAAATTGACTTGAAACTGGAACAATTTTTCTTTCCCTTTCAACCTATGGCTTATGGATAGGCTGTTTTCCCATTAGTTGAAACTTTTATCTACTCTGCCTTTTGGACTCAAGGCGACTATTAATCTCCCACCCCCACCGCAATGTACAGGTAGTCCTCACTTAATGGCCATAATTGGGACTGACAACTCTGTTGCTAAGTGCTGCAGTTATTACGTGAGACATCATGGGACCACGATGGACTTGTGACCTCACTTCCATCACAGTCATTAAGTGAATCACCTGCGGTTGTTAAGCGAGTTGTCATGTGACCGTGACTTGCAATTTTACTGCTGGCTTCTCCATTGACTCTGCTTGTCAGAAGCTGGTTGTGAAGCGCACAAATGGTGATCACGTGACTGTGGGATGCTGCGACAGTCGTAAATGCCAGCCAGCTGTGAAATGCCTGAATCTCTCTGATGTGACTATGGGGACGCTGCGATGGTTGTAAGTCGTAAAATTATTTTTTCAGCACCGTCATAGCTTTGGTCACTAAACAGGACAGTTGTTAAGTGAGGACCACCTGTACAACCATTGTTACAGATACTGGGGAAAGCTTCTAGTTTGAACAATATTTACATTCTATCATTTCACTTTCATAATTTGCAACAAGCTTTTAAATGCGATAGAGGAAGGGTTTCTTTACAGCCAACATTCCCTCATAACAATTACTCAAAGAGTGATGAGAATAAATTTGTATGGAGTGGGGAGGAAGGAACTGTATTGGTCCAGGATCTGTAGTACTTCAGGGAAGGGATACTCTGAGATGTCTACTGATCAGATGGAAGGTGAGCACCGACTGCTGATGGTGTTCCCTGTCTCAGTGTTTGGAGAGCTGCAGAAGGAAGAACAATTGGCTTCAAACTGCTTTGGAAAGGATTGGGGAATGGAGAGCGTGTGATATGGAAACTCCTTGCATTATACCCTTCCCTCAAACATTTCTCAGCTGCAATTATGCAGAAATGTCTCATGCAATCTAGGATAGTGGCTCTTGTCTCAGTAGCACTATTTCTCATAGCCCAGTTCACTACTCTCTACCTCTAATCAGAAGCTTTTCTCCAAGACAACTGAGTCCTCTTAGCAGTTACCCAAAGATACTGGGAAACTGATCCAGAGCAGTCTGGTTGCTTACAAAGTATTGCCTGGCCTGAGCAATGTTTTCTATCACAGGATGAAGCCTGCTACCAAAACAGTAAATGCAAAGGTGCATCTTCACAGAGTCCCCCAGCAACCATGTCAGAGACAGATTGGATTTTCCTCATCTCTTCCAAATCAGAGGCTATATGCCCTATCCTCTACAACTCAACCAACACAACTTGCATAGCCTCCTCTTTTTACATGCACATTCCTTGTTTGGGCTTACTGTAGGCATGTGCAGTTGTATAAAACTGAGCATTTTTAAAAAATTAAAAGTGTTCTGGCAGGCCTACAAAATGGCTGCCGTAGGAGGAGAGAATGGCAGGTTACAAAACGGCTACCATGGTGTATGTGTGGGGCATTATCATCTCATATTTATTTAAATAAATAAATATGTTGTGTGTGTGTTCTTATACACCAAGACAGTGAAGAAAAGACAGAGAGAGAATAAAGCCCCAATGGAAAATGCATATATGTAGGAAGAACTGAAAACAGAGGAGAAAGGTAGAAAACACAGAGACAGAAACACGTGCATAAAACTAACTAACACACACCACCAGGGAACACACAGAGAGTACAGATACACTTCGCTGGTCTAACCCTTTCTTCTCTTCACCCTGCCCGTGTAAATGAATGGAGTGAAAAAATCTCTATTATGGAAAAATGGCTGGTCAGGGTTGGAAGCCCTGTTGTCTCTGATAGCAGGGGTTCCCATTCCCTCAACCAGCCCTTTTTATTTATTTAAACATGGCTCTCCTGCCCTTCCTACTCCATTCATGTGTGTAAATGGGGAAAGAGTGGGAGGGAGGGCATCCGATACATTCGGTCACATGGCTGTGAATGGTAGTAACGTCCCGTCATGTCTATACAACACGCCCGGCTCTGAAGGCTTAGGAGACTGAAAATATGTCAGAAAAAGGAGGTGAAACATCCAATCCAAAGCGCACGTTCTCTAAGGACTGGACGGTTAGAGCCTTCCATTTCATCAGCCAAAATGAAATACCTTCTGCTTCTACTGCTTCCTGGTCGGACGGCTCAGCTAAAATTATGTCTGTGCTTGACACTTTTTGCTCTCTGAATTAAAATGTTTGGCAAAAGTTGCCTAGATTCTTTTGTTGTGGTCCCTGGCTTGCAAACCTAAAGATCTGCAGCTGTTTTTCCTAACTTACTGCATAGAAGTAGTGTATGCTCTGCATACTCTGAAGTATTGCTGAATTTACAGGTGAGATTTTTATTAACCAGAATCCATCTTTTTGGTCATTCTGACATTGACAGTCACTGTTTCTTTACAACACATCAGACAGAACTGGGAGTCTCAACAATCAGTATCAGGCTGACGTGGTTCTTCTGAAAGGATCACGCTATTTAAGGAAGTTAGTAGGTCATGAGAAACCCTAGATTTCTTAGTGTGAGAACCAATCCATTTGCAAGTTGCGACAACTTTCCTACTAGAGCTGAGACAGTACAAAAGTCATCTCAAGAAATGTACCTGAGTAAAGAATAATTCGAATCACAACAGAGGCAATTAGCAGTGGGAAAGCTAACACTGCTACTAGTATTAACCTTTATTGTTGTGAACGATTAGGAACAGAAGGAAATCTATGATAATAGCAATCATTTCCCACATGTGTCTTTACTGAAGCACTGCCTGAGCCTTTTTTGAAGCCTCTCCTCTAGACATGCATGAAATATGACCCGAGGCAGAGCTGAGAGTGGAGATTTGCAGATTCTTTCTCTAAGTTGCCAGAAAAGAATTGGGTCAGCTGGACTAGACCAAATGGGCTAGGTGCCAAAGAGTAAAGATTCTGTTTGCAGCAGCAGCAGCAGCAGCAGAAGAAGAAGAAGGTGGTTCAGGTTGGATTTTCATGGGACTTTAATTTGTCTTGAAAAATAAAACAGGAAAATGCACAGAAACATCAACCGTCAACACAGAAGCAACAGTCATGTTTCCATAGAGAAATTAGGCAGGAGGAAAAGCTTCATGATCACCTTGCTTTGTGTGAGGGTGGGGGATGACATGAGATGGGAGACGGACAAGGCTTGTTGTACCAAAGATGGACACCACATGTCAGATTGGCCTGAGGAAATGGAGAGAGGTTAAGGAGGAAAAGGAAGCTTAGAAAAGATGACAACGGCTTTTCTGAAAAGAGGCCTCCTGCATCTTGTGAGACCTCCTCATAGTCCAGGACAGGTCTGGACTAGATACTCTCAACTGCTAGGAGAAGCTCTAAGGACTTTCTGGAAACCTCTTGAACATTGTGCCAAAGCCTTTTTTTAAGGCAAAACGTAAAGCTTATCAAAGGCTTATACCCTGAAAATCTGAATTTTTTACTTTGAATGGATTTGGGGGGGATGGTGGTGCTAGACTAGATGGTTTGCTCACAGAAGGACACACATTCAATTGCAGCTAGCTAGAAGGATTAGATAGCAGGTAATGTGAAAGATTTCTGCCCCAAACCATGGACAGCAGCCAACTTCAGAGTAGACTAGGAATCAGCCATCTTTTCCACCTCTGGCGATCCCTTAATGACACTGTGGGGTTCCTAAATGCCCGGCACTCATGGGCAATGGGCTACTGACCCCAGAAGTGCACAGTACTGAACTAGTTAGACACACAGGGTCTCTCCACACTTGTGCAGGTGCAGGATTGGCATTGCATGTTTGTGTTCTCACAATGTCCTCCTCCTCAAGA